TTTTTTTTCCGAACAAGTACTCCAGTCTATTCATGTGGATCTTCTGACACGGTTCTATGGACTTCTATCGGAACAGACGTTGAACATCGCACTTCCACCTATCCCTCCCAACACACACACACACACACACACACACACGCACACACACACGACAACGACCGCACACGACCACAACCACAACCATCACAAACTAGGTCCTAGCTGTTGAGTTAGGATCTTGGTGCAGTGGGAGGTTGGAGAATGGGGTGGGTCTGGGGTGGGTCCCAAACAGTGTGTCTCGTCAGCCATGTATTTGTGGAATTTTGTCGTCTCCACCAGTGTTCAGCCGAGAGAATCCCAGCCGCTGGTTCTAGGATGAACTGTTGAGAGCTGTGTCGTATGCTGGAGGTGGTAAGCAAAATTAGCACAGACACTGGTCAAGAGATATAAATATGCTGGAGGAGAGAAACAAAAGGGGTGGAAGCAGGTGCTGGCTTTCCTGTGAAACAGCTCTCTCTCTCTCTCTCTCTCTCTCTCTCTCTCTCTCTCTCTCTCTCTCTCTCTCTCTCTCTCTCTCTCTGTATATCTTTTTCTCTCTTTTCCGTCTCCTTCTCCCTATGTATGTATATATATGTGTATATAATATATATCGTCAAACAGAGCTGCCGAGTAAACCGTAGGCAGAGAGGGAGAAGAGGACAACAAACGAGGGGTTGTGACAAACTGTTTCGTCAGAGTTTATATTTAGATGTATGTGTATATGTATCATCAAACAGAGCTGCCGGGCAAACCGTAGGCAGAGAGGGAGAAGAGGAATGTGTATATATATATGTGTATAACAGAGCTGCCCGGTAAAGCGTAGGGAGAGAGGGAGAAGAGGACAACAAAGGAGGGGCTGTGACAAACTGTTTCGTCAGATTTTCATGTGTATATATATGTGTGTGTGTGTTTATATATATATCGTCAAATAGAACTGCCCGGTAAACCGTAGGCAGAGAGGGAGAAGAGGACAACAAACGAGGGGCTGTGACAAACTGTTTTGTATATTGTCAAACATGTATATGCATATATTCAGCCTCCTGATGAGTCCGTGAAACTCCAAAGAAATTGTGCTGGCCTGGCTCAGGTGGACGTCAGGTCTCCCTCTGTGCGTTCTGCTCACCGGGCAGTTCTCTATGACAATATATATATCATATACATATGTAATGAATCAGGAATTGTGCTATTTGGCCTAGCTCAGTAGGAGCACTCACGAACTTTCAAAACGTAGACCTGAGTTCGAATTTTGATGGAATTGTATAAAAGTAATTCTGAATTTATGCAAGGCTGGTCAGTTGAAAGATGCTGTTGCCCTTTCAAAAAAAAGAAGGACGAAAGAAATCGTGCTGTCGTTTACAACTATACATGTCCTTTTTCAGACAATGATTCACTCTGGCTGACAGCACTGTAGCACTAGGTTTGTCTTTCCATCTGTGTTCTCCCCCCCCCCCCCCCCCCCCCCCCCCCC